CCTGCCAAACCCCCCCCCCCCCCCCTTTTTTTTAACAAGGCAAGCTGTTTGGTTTGGGAAAACAAAGGGTGGTCGTGTCTGCCTGAGGATTAGTCCCTTTTGCTTTTACCTTCAAATCATAGTATAAAAGAAGACGCAATTCTGAAGTGAAGATACAAAGTGATTTAGCTGCATCCTGAGAGGACAGGCTCGAAAAAAGTTTGGCAGTTTTGCAAAAACAGAGTTGTAAAAAATCTTTTAACTGGTGATTCCAATGCAGCTGTAGGTAGGGGGTTGGACTGCGATGTGATTTAGCTGTTGAACTCTGACTCAACTCCTCCTGCTGTATGGGGTGCATCACTTTTGTATGTTCTGTGAGAGTGATTCTGGTGCATTTGTTGATGGCAAGTTGGGTATCAACGTGCTAAATTGATGTCATGCTTGACTCAGCTTCTTCCAATGTGCAGGGGTTTGTTGAGGAAGAGTGTTGTAAATCAGGTGATTCCTGTGCAGCTGTTGGGGCGTGACAAGGTGTGACGTATGAAGTAGTCATCCCTCACCTTGCTTCTTCCTGCTGTACCGGGTTTTGTTGGGTGTATTAGTTTGGATTTGACTGGCGTTAGTCAGAAACATGTCCATCTTTGAGTGACTTGGTTGTTGTTCGTGTACCTAATCACAGAAAGTTTGTTAGTGACAAAAAATTTGTTTGCAATTTTGTTGATTAGTGCATAACTAGATTAAAGTAACGAAAGGATAAAGTAGAGCTGGCCAGGCTCAAGCAAATACTCAAGTGATGAGGTGATTGTTCAGGTCGTAGTTGTTCAGCACTTCCGTCATTTTCAATTCATAAGGTAGAGGTAGATTGGTCCCACAACTTGGGCAACAAATAGTTTTTGATTTTGCGTACGCACTAGATTGGTCCCACACTTGGGCATCTTATAGTTTTTGATTTTGCAGTCAGTCCTATTTTGGACAAAGTAAAACGTTTCAATAGATTGATCAGCTTGGCCACACAAGATTGTTTTCGATAGTTTGAGTTTTGCAGTTTTGATTGAATTTGTTGGTTTTTGTTGTTTGATTTTCCTCTCTTGCATAGGTTTCATTCACAAAGTCTGATTTGTTTGACAGAAGAGCAAATCAAGTTTTCCAAAGTGAATTTTTTGAACAGTGGATATTTGGTTATTGTTAAGATGATAATCAAAACTTTGACATCAACAATGGATATTAACGTCAAAAATCAAGGTGAGATAAGGAAATGGTTGATCCTATGAGGATGTAATTTTAATTGTGACTTCTTGTCAGTTGCAGATGAGAATACGAGTGACTTGGAGCAAAATGCGCTGGTCATTGAAGATTCTAATTCTCCTGGAGTTGTACAAGGTGTGTAAAGAAAGAAAAAATAGAGTTCTAGGGATATAGATTCTAAATTGGTTGGTTCTTATGAATCCTTAGTGGAAGAAGAAGAAGACGTCCCAATGGAGCCGTTTCCCGGGGATGTAGCTGGAATTACAATTCCTGGTTACTTAAAAGATTGTGCTAAAGTGTTTCATAGTTTGGATGCAAGCAAATGGGAAAACTTGATGGATCTTGCCAGCTTTGTAAAGAAGAAATCAATGTCTTTAATAGCAAAGTGGGGTCTTGATTCTGAGATAACTGAGACTGAGAACGAGATGGTTCAAAAGAAGGTCAAATTAGAGTGTTTAAAAACTGCTGTGAATGAGTTGGATGATGAGAAAAGTAATTTGGAGGAAAAGAAGAAGATTTCTGCGCTTCAAAAGGAAATGGCTGTTTCTGGCCTCTAAGGAGGCGGATTTAAGTGCGCTTGAGTTTCTTGGGTGCATTAAGAGAAAAACTGCTGGGGACTTGGCGTCAGCTCTTTTAAGATTTCAAGAATTGAAAGACTTGTGGTTTGAAGAGGGGCCAAGTTGTAAAGTTTTCAATGAGGGTAATTATGAAATTTGTGTTAGAAAGGGTTCTGATTTTGACTAATTCTTGTGGTTTTAACCAGATAACGTGTGGATCCTTCAACTTGGAGAGGGCTCAGGACAAATTACCATTTGGGTTGGAAGGCTGGAGCACCTTATGACTTGATTTGTCAAGGAGAATAAAGTTCTGGGAGTTTGTCAGCTGTCAACATCATCGTCTGCTTCTAAGAAAACCTCAAATCTAATTTCTCCGGGACCTTTGAGGTCAATTCGGAAATCAATTGAAAGTTCTGCGGGAGCAAGCACCTCTGGGGTCAAGCGGTCTGCTGTTGTGATCCCTAATGCTGGGGAAGTGACTAAGCATCAAAAGCTTCAAAGAAATCCAAAATGTTTGGTTGGGGGATTGACTGATGGTAAAAAATGATGAAAACTTTCTAGTGTTTGAGAAATATACTTGAATTGTTTTAAATCTCTATTTTTAGCAAATCTTTAAAAATTCATGGAAGGGAAGCAATTTGTTCCTAAGGATCTGATTGTGTACTGTTGGAATGTTGCTAAAAGGCTTGGGCTGACAGAAGAACATCTTGAGCGTTTGGAGCCCATACAGCTACCAGTTCCTGGATGTATTGTACAAGATTGGCTTTACAGTACTCCTCAGTTTTCTCGGATTCCGGAAGAGAGGATGTTGACAACTTTGGAGCCTCAAGTGTTGGTCATTGGAATGTCCCTAACTTCCTACATTTTTGCTTGGGGGTGAAAAGGATACATTTGTGGGTCACGTACATTCTGAAAAGTGCACTCAGAAACCAGTGTTTGATTTTTTGCACTTGCTTTCTGAATTGCTGTTTTTGTTGTATCAGGTTGGTAATATTAACTTGTTGAGAATGTGAATTGATTAACTAAGGGATGGCAATTTCTATTGTATGTTTCAGTATTCCATCAGCGGGCTGTCATTCAAATACTGACAAGCTTTTACACCCAAGGATCTCAAAAAGATGGTCTACTCTGACCTCAAATTAAATGAAAAGTTTTGGTTTAACCAAGTTTATATCAGAATTGTTACAAATGATATTAAGGAGGTCGTTAAACAACAAAGGAATTTGGATTTTTTGACATTTGATGGTTTTGTGGTAAAACTTTTTGAGTATTTGGGAAGATTAGCAAGAGCATTTGGGTGTAAAGTTTTCTATATTGGGGCATCTTCTCCTCCCAGGCCTCTTGTGGATGGCAGGTATGTTTCAAAAAGCTTGTTACGTTCTCCAAATGGGATGCCAATTTTTCCATTGCAATATTTAGATGGAAGTAGAATGGTGGATCATGATACTTGTCTGAATGCGGCATACGCAATGCAATTTGAGTTAAGGGAGAGGCTAGTGAGATCAGCAGGAAACTTAATGCATGATGGGAATGGGGGACCAGGTTTTGTTATTTTGGTAACTCCTTTTGAGAGACTTTGCAAATATGTTAAGAGAACAACTCTAGAAGGCGCGTTTGGGCACACGCAGATCAGGGCCTATTTGCAACTGATCATGCTATAGTTATTCAATTTGGGTTATCACTAGATTATCCTGGGAAATTATGGGATAGAGTTCCATCATGCTCTGGTTCTTCTCCTATGTGGAGGGATGATGGGACTGCATCATTGGGAGTGTCCCCTAGAGTTAAACACAATCATTACGCTCATGCTAAACTGCTAGAGAATTGTGTTGGAATGCCTTTTGGGTATTTTCCAAAGGCTGGGGGAATTCCTTTAATGATTGATCCCTTTACAAGGTAAGATGGTTTTAAAATTTGATATGAAATGAGAACTAATCATTTTCCTTTGTTTATGAATTTCAGTTTGGACAAGGTCTACAAGACTGGAATTATTGACAAATGCTTTTCGTTGGAATATATTAGAGGGAGCTACAAGACTTTGTCATCTGATTCTTTCAACTTTGCAGTGAAGGACATCCACGCTGGGAAAATCGTAGTGGGTTCTAGAGTTTGAGTGAAGGACTCTTTGATTGAAAAAATTGTTATCACTAAAACTGATGCAGGTTTTTGGTTTGTGGGTGCCGGAGGTCCCATGTATTTAGATGGGAGAAACCTTGAACTTTTGTAAAATTTTCTTTAAGGAGAAGTTGTGAATGGTTTTGATTAATGTTTGATTCAAGTTTTTTGTTAGAATTTTATTTGTTTTGATGATTTGATTGGCTTGTTTAGTTTGATTCACTCGGTTGATTTGCTCTTTTGGTTGGTTCACTTGGTTTGATTTACTCGTTTGATTGATTCAATTGGTTTTGATTGATTCACTTGTTTTGATTCATTCCTTTTGGTTGATTGATTTGCTCGGTTTTGATTTGTTCATTTTGATAGTAAAATATTTTTGTTTGATATCAAGAGAAATGGTTTTGTATACTGTTTGTACTTTGTTAAACACTGATTGTTGAAGCAAAAAATAAACTGACTGACTAAGTTCAAAATTTCTTTGTTTTCCATTAAACCCTTTTTGGTTTTATTGTTAGTGTTTGTCCTTTAGGACCCTACGTAACCCTTTCTACACTCCTCAGAGGAGCTTCTAAAACAAACAACCTAAAGAAATTTTAAAGTTGGTTTTCTGAAGAATTTGTTGAGTCATTCGAGTCATTTAAAGAATTCACCAACTGCTTCAATTCTCATCATGGCAATACTTTTGAGAAATTCATTATCAACTTGTTGAACTTCTACCTCTAAAGAAACTAAATTTTGAACAGCTTGATTCTTCAAGATTGTAGGTTTGGATTTTTTAGCCCCCCTGCAAGAGAGGTAGTGATTATTTCAACGGCTCTTGTACTTTGCTTTCCTACAGTTTCCAAACCAATGCCTCCAGCAACTCTGGCAAAGAGTGACTTTAAAGGCTACCTCACCGTACCACACAAACCAAGTGGCATTGCATCCGCATCAAATCACTGTACCTCTTGAAGTGTCCTTTCTTTGTGTGTCTTTGCGTGTGGGAAGAAATTAAAAACAACGGTGTTTTTAATTGAATGCTTTATTTTTAAATCCAACAAGCTGGGGGTACACTGTGGAGTCCATTTTTATTGATTTGATAAAAAATTTCATAAACTGATGAAGAATGGGTTAAACAATTACAAAGCACAGGGCATTTTATTATTTGTTTGGAAGTTTGAAAAACTTCATGTATTCCACTTGAATGATAAATACATGACGCAGCCAGTAAAAATACTGTACATGAGTCCTACACACCACGCAACTCAGTAATAAAACATGATGCGGCTCAGTAAAAATACCTGACGCAGCTACAAAGTCCTACACACAACATGGCTCAGTAAATGATTGATGAATTATACAGGTACATTTTTTAATGCCCAATGTTTTGGATTTTCTTTGAGTTGCTCAAAAATAATACACATGACGTGGCTCAGTAAAGTCCAAACACAAAAATACACAATGCCGCTCAGTAAAAAGACACAACGCAGCTCAGAAGTCAGAAGTCCTACACACCACGCAACTCAGTAATAAAACATGATGTGGCTCAGTTAAAATGCATGACGGGGATAAAAATTCCTACACCCAACATGGCTCCAAAATCCTATCACACAAATATAAGTCAAAACACAAAATACATGAAGCGGCTCAGTAAAAATACATGACACAGCTCAGAAGTCAGTAGTCCTACACACAATGTGACTCAGTAATGAAACATGACGAGGCTCAGTAAACATACCTGACGTGGTTAAAAAGTCCTACACACCACGCTGCTCAGTAAATGATTGAAGAATTATACAGGTACATTTTTAACACCCAATGTATTGGATTTTCTTTGAGTTGCTCAAAAATAATCGTGAGCAATTCCAAGTCATAAAAATTTATTTTTGAGTAATATTGAAATGTGTATTACAAGATTTATTTTCTTGCTCAAAATTGTTGTATATACTCCAGCAGTGGAAAACTAAGATTTGTGTGCTTCATACTGCTGGTCTTGCAAGCAGTAAACTTTGTTTGAGGAATACAAACCCAGCTGTTCTTTCATGTATTTTGTGGTGTTTACACTTATACCGGTTTTTTCTGGTAGGTTTTTCTGATATGAAAATTCTTTTTCCATTATTTTCTCAAGTTAGGGATTTCATCCTGCACTGGGAACATCATAATTGCGCCAGAAACGATTGCAAAGGCTCAAGGTCCTTCTGGTGTGGTACCCAAGCTGTGTTGTATACTGGGAAATAATGGGACTTCAAGCTGGTGATCTCTGCACTTTCCTGGGGGGTTTGGCTTTGTAGCCACGGGCAAAAGGACCAGTCAAAGACTTATCTTAAGGCCAGTGACATTTATTGGATTTTCATGGTTACCCTTCTTTTGCCTGGGGTGCTGGGCAAGGGTGGTGGATCCACCAGAGACAGTAGATATTGATATCAAAGGCAATATCTATAATCCCCCGTATTCATTCATTATAGATGAATTACATTTACATTTTTCATGGAATTTCAGATTATATGTGATTGATTATCATCTGAGTTGATTTAATGCATAAAAAGAAGCCTGGTAATCAAAAGCAAGCCAAAAGCACCTTCAGAACTGATTTATTAAGGTATTAAAAGACTGGCAGAACAAATAAACCTGATATAATGTACTTCAGCTTGATTTTACCTTTTATGAGAAAACTGTGGGTGTAACATTTTCTCAACTCAGATTTTCTGTATCCCCCAAAAACCAAGCACTCCTGCATAAAGCTGCAAAATTTTTGAATGATTTCATGAAATCAGCAGCCATTTTAAACAGGACAGTGTTTGAGATAATTTACTGCTGATACCATGCAGAGTATACCCTGCTGATACTCTGGGACATTGCTGCATGAACCATAAGCAACAAGGAATTGGGAAACATTCTTCTCCACATTCAACTTTTTAAATTGGTTAATCTTCAATCTTCAAAGCTTGTTAGGAAAACGTTTAAAGGTTCTGGGAGAAACTTGTCTGGAGTAATTTTCTAAACTGGAGTAATTTTCTCCAGAACTGGATTCTTTTTGCATTATGCCTAGAGGGATGAAAATATTGACATCAATGAAAGGTGTGTCCCCAGCAATGCAAAAATAACCTTTCCATGGAATATAATATAGACTGGGACCAGATGTGCACATTTCCCAGAATGCAAGGAGGGAGACAAAGAGTTTTTACCAAGTTTTTATGAACTCACTTTTCTTGTCTGTCTGTCTGTCTGTTTCTCCGGATCAAATTTTGAAACTCAAATTTCACTCACTTCCAGACTAGCTAGCAAGCTGAAACTTTCAGGATAGCCTAGAAACTGATGACAATGCAAATCTTATGTGAAAAAATTAATTTTAAGAATATTTTTTAAAAAGAATAAAATAATTATAGTAGATTTCTATAATAAAACTTTGAGCAGGTTTTCCTTGGCCCCAAGAAAAAAACCCATGGTGAACTGAATTGGTCGCAGAGGTCCAAGTTCAATCCCACCCCCTGGAACATTTTTTTTTCTAATTAATTAACACGTTTTTATTAACTCACTTTCTTGTCTGTTTGTTTGTCCGGATCAAATTTTGAAACTCAAATTTCACTCACTTCCCGACTAGCTATCAAGCTGAAACTTTCAGGATAGCCTAGAAACTGATGACAATGCAATCTTTTGTGAAAAAATAAATTTTAAGAATATTTTTTAAAAAGAATAAAATAATTATAGCAGATTAAAAAATTAATCTAAAAAACCACGTTTTCAAAAAGCAAAAAATAACCTTAAACGTGGTGCGCATGGAGATTGTTGGGAAGAAGTGAAATACAAATGAAATAGATGCATACCACATTTAAGGTTATTTTTTGCTTTTTGAAAACATGGTTTTTTAGATTAATTTTTTAATCTACTATAATTATTAACATCTGCAGTGGGAGGAATGACCAGTAGGATCCTACAGGGGTCTGGGGAACTTTAATAAGGATGTCATGTAAGTTGTAGTGTAGGGTTGGGTAGTTTGTAGTGTAGTGTAGGGTAGGTTGTAGTGTAGGGTTGGGTAGGTTGTAGTTTAGGGTATGGTACTTTTTAGTTATACAATTTCATTAATTTTACCAACCATTGCCCAGGTGTGGCTGGGCACCACAAGCTTGTTACTAAGAAAAGAAAAGATTTCACTGGGGATGCTCTACTACTAGATAAGGATGTCATGTAAGGTGTGTCTGTGGCCTATCTATCCCTCCTGACTTTTCCCCCTACCTCCCTCCCACAGAGCCCCCAGAGAGGCCTGCAGGAGGCTGGCGTTTCCCATTTTTTCAACTTTAAAAATTTGCCAGAAATGGAATTCTTGATGTAACTTAGATTTTTTTCAATTGTACAAGGTGCCATGCAATTTGCAACATTTCCTTTTTTAAACATTCAAAAATGTTGACAATTGAGCGAGAAACAAAGAAAAACTCAAAACATTTTTTAAAAACATACAAAAAGCGGGAAAAAAGATTTTACTTTTTGAATTTTATCTATTTTAATTATCAACATATGTCAATTTAAAAAATTTGTAAATTTGTAAAACATCTGTGTGCATGAACCTGACAAACATTTTTGAAATTTAATGAAAGTTGAATAAGTTACAATGAGCTAAACTGAAAATTTTGAATTCCCATTTCTGTTTTCTTCCTCTTATACTAATTTCAAAAATTTGCCAAAATTTCAAATTGCATCTAAAGTTCAAATTTCTTCAGATGTTGCAAGGGCATTAATGTTTTCTAAATTTTCCCTTTTAAAATTTTGAAAAACCTCCAAAATTGGCCAAGTGTCAATCAAAAGCTCAAAACCTTTTTCAAAAACCTGGGATAAATTGGGAAAAAGTAGTTTTACTTATTTGAAATTTAAATTTTCCATTTTGAACTTTGCTCATTGAAAAAATGTGTAAATTCAAAGAACATCCATGCGCATATACCCCTTGAAAAATATTTTAAATTTCTTCAATACAAAAAAAGTTATCATAAGCTAAAATGAACAAAACAGAATTTTCTGAAAATTCCATTTCCCATTTTTCCAACTTTAAAAATTAGGCAAAATTGCAATTCTAAAAAAACTTACTTTTTAAAACTTTATGAGGAGCGCCATGCTGTTTGCAACATTTTCTCCTTTTTAGTTTTCAAAAAATTGAAAATTGACTGAAATAAAATGAAAAACATAAAATATTCTTTAAAACTTGTATGAAAATTGGGAAAAAAGATTGTATGTTCTGAATTTTATCTCAGTCCATTTTCAACATTTGTCAAATAAAAATTCTTAATACCGTAAAACATCTGTGTGTATGTAACCCTGCCAAAAATTTCAAAATTGCATCAAAATCCTAAAAGTTAGAATGAGCTAAACAGAAAAGTTTGAATTCCCAGATATGCTTTTCTTTGTGTTTTGACAACTTTGAAATTGTTACAAAGATTTAATTTTGACTCAATTTTCAAATTTTTTCAAATGTTGCACTTGCAAAGATGTTTCCTAAATCTTCTTCCTTATATTTTGAAACATCTTCAAAATTGATTGGGATATAATCAAAAACACAAAAACATTTTTGAAAAATGTACTAAAATCAGCAAAAAATGTTTTTAGTTTTTGAATTTAAAATCATCCAATTTTCAAAATTTTTCAAAAACCATAAATAATTATTATTGTAGAACATCTGTGAGCATACAACCCAGATAAAAAAAATAAAATTGCTTGAAAATCAAAAAATTTACAAGGAGCTAAATTGAAAAATAGGAGATCTCTGAAAAAACCCATTTTCCGTTTTCAGCAAAACTTCAAAAATTTGTAACACACCCATTATTGAACAAAACCTCACTTTGAAACTTTAAAAAATGGGCCATGATGTTTTCTACCTTTTACTTTTTTAAACTTGGAAAAAGATGTAAAATTGTTCAAGTTACAATGAAAAACGCAAACACTTTTTTCAAAATTGGAATAAACCAGAAAAAATGATTTTACATTGTGAAAGTTTTCCACATTTTTCAATGAAGAAAATTTTAAATTTGTACAATATCTATGTGCATTTACATCATAAAAATAAATCAAACATCTGTAAAACAACAAAAGTTATCAGGAGGTAAAAATAAAAATGGGAGTGCTCTAGAAGAAATTGTTTTTCATTTTTGAAAGTGTAAANCTAGGGATCCACCCCTCCAAAAAAGAAAACTATGGCTGCGCCAAATTTGTTATCCAAAAACTATTTTACAAAAGTTGGTGATCAGCGATGATCAGTCGTTGAGAGCTACTTTCTAATAATTAATGAAAAAAGGGGATCGGAGATTTAATTTGTTTTCTGCGACTTTTGAAGGAAATGCAAAAGTTACTCCGTGAGAGTATTTCAAATGTTTATTTATTTATCTTCACACAGTTGATACAATATTTCTACCGAGAGCAAAGCGGCGTGGATTCGGCTTTTGGACAGAGTCTGGTGCGGTAAACTTAATGCAACATAAAATGCACCTGTATGTATAGCTTCGGCCAGCCAAGGTCAAGGAACGCGCATAGAAACCGATTTGGATTGGGGACGTCATGCTTTGTTTATTCCAAAGGAAGGAAGCATGAGCGCGGTCGGGAAAGTATTCCTTCAACAACGGGATTGTGAAATATAATTGAAAGCTGGAGAGGTCTGGCATGCCAATGCCTGATTCCTCAGTTCACCTTACACCCCCTTTCAGGTATGTGCTCTTGACCCCTTAAGCCCTTAACTAAAAATAGCTAAGTTTAAAATTTGCTTGTTTTGCGTGTTTTTTCACTTGATCTTACTCTTGAGTGTTCTTAAAACACATTCCCATTGTTTTCGGGTGCTTTTCGTTCGATTTAAAGGGTGTATTTTGCGTTTTTTGTTTGCAAATTTTGTTCGCGAGATACGCCAAAACGATCAATTTTTGCACAAAACCGCGACGTAAATGAAAAAAGTAAACAGTTCGTTCGGTTACAGGTCACGTGAGGAAGGTCTCCTGCAAATTTCGGCAATTTTCACCATTCGGTTTGCGTAAAATCAACAAAAAGGTATTTTCCCTTAGACTCCTTAACAAAATTGGATCAGATCTGATCCAAGTGCATCTTTCTAAAATTTTCAGTTTTCAATCAAAAAATGGCGGGTTTCTTGGTGTCGTTGCTGTTGGTGTTGCTGGTGGTGCATCCTGATGCGTCATCTGGCAGGTGCGTGATCCAAGATGGCCACCTACATTGTATGGAGGCGTGCGATGCGGACGCGGTTTGAGCGTCCAATTTCAACGGCAGGATAGCATTAACTGGTCCTGTCTTGGACTTTGGCTGCTTGAGTTTCTTCGGTATCAAGGTTTGTTGGGAAAAAGGGTCCTTCAGATCATTTTGCTTCAGGAATTTGTTTGTATTTGATCAGGCTGTCGAGTTGCTGAAACCTACTTGATGCGAAGGGGTCTTCATAGCTTCTGCTGTTGATCCGGCAGACTTGTGTGTCGGATACATGTTGGGAACGGGTCCAACAGAAGTGGTTCCAACGTCAGCAATTCCAACGACAACGTCGATGTTGGTTGCTGCAACGACGGTGACGTCTACAGCAGCGACATCTCTGCCGCGTTTGAGCTCAGCTGCTTCCACTCCGGTGCCGATCACTGAGTTAGTCATGTCGACAGTGACTGTTGCTTCTCCGTCAGCATCTACAACAAAAATAGAAACTACGACTGTCCCTGGTAAGGGATTACCAACACCTCTGAAAGTTGCGTAAACTGATTTTATCCCTTTTTGTAACCACGTAGCAATCAAACCATCCATATTAATATCTGTACTAAACAACTTTTCGGATATTCCTGAGACAACGCTCTTCACTGGGGAACGTGAAAACGTTACCTTGACGGTTGTGGAAGGAAAAGCTGTTTTGGGTGCCAAGTTCTCTACGGAAGTGCTTTCAAAATGGGCTGTTGGAGTAATTAGCGCGGTCTGAGCTTGACGGTTTTTGGACTGGCATTTGGGTGGCTGGCCCATTGTCTGAGGAAGAAGGTACTTCCTAATTTTTTCTTAGCACTGCCTTTTGTTGTTAAAACACGTTCTTCGCATGTAGTCTTTCTTTTCTTAATTTTGCCAATAACTAACAGTATTGCCCAAAACCACGTCAAACTGAAACTAAAACTGAAGTTGAAGAGATCAAAATGACCGATTTAACCCCTAAACCGTTTGTGCATGAATCCACCATAAATGAAGTTCAAGACGGTTTTTCAACCATAAGGTTGCGTATACCGCTTATGACTACATTTAAGCCAAGTAAGACGTAGCTTGCCAATACTTTGTTGATTTGCATGACTGCATGGCTTCCTTGGGTGTTTCCTTTTGTCTTTTGTCTCCAGCCTTGGTTGCAGCCATTCCTGAGGTTGGTGGAGGAGGCCAGGAGGGTGTTGACGCTGCTGGTGACACCTGCGTTGTCCCCTTTACCACCGCCATTGTTGGCTGAGGTGGTCTCCGATCTCCTGTCCTTGGATCTTGCTCCTTTGGCTCTTCCACTTCCCATTCCAGCTGTGGTTCCTGGTATAGAAGAAGCTCAAGACTCCGCAGTTAATGTTAGCTCTGATGACTTTGTTTCGGTCGCAGAAGAGTAGGCGTGTAACCGTTAGGAGGAATCTAATAAAGAATGAGCTTTGTACAGAGAGAAATCCTGTTTACTTTTACTCTGTTCCTCAGCTGGTACTCAGGGGAAGAATTCCGGTGGAGGGGTTCATGAGGATTCTGGGATATTTTGGTGCGGGTTGGGAAGGGATGGATTCAGTCACCAATTCGACACGCGCCGACATGTCATTTAAATCTATTGCCTCTAAACGCCTTCTTCTCTGTAAGACATATCGTATCCTCGCGAAACAGAAATATACAATCACGATAAGTATAATTGTTAGTAATATAATTAAAACAATGAGATAAATATAACCGTTGTCCCGAAAATGTAGTTGTAATTCACTAATGTCCTCAATAATTGATTTAATTCCTGGGACATTCGCCGGGATCTCATTAATTGCATTTATCTCAATGTTTTCCAATCTTGGGGTCATTTCATGAAATGGCCCGTTAATCACCATATAACGACAATAAGGTCTAAATTGAATGATACCTGAATATGGCAACTCGTAGGTATTTTCAGATGCTTGAGCGTTAGTTTCAGAACAATACTGCGTAATATGCCCTTTGTCTGAGTCAATAAAAGCAAATTCGTCTGCATCTAATTGTATGACCGTATTCTCTGGTACTTTGGTTTCAATTAATGGACATTTACTTTTAATTGTGGACTCCAGATCTCCGTTCTGAATTGATTTAACACAATCCTTAGCTTCGTAAACTGGAGGCCTGGGGAATTTACACAATTTGCATAAGGCATGGCCATATTGCGGTAAACATAAGGGTAATTCACTTGCTTGTAAAGCGAAAATTTTAGCACCTTGAGTAAGCAAGTAAGGTTCTGACAAGTTTACCTTATGCCACTTGGGCACTCCCATGTACGTATCTTCCACAATTGGCACACTATGAACTTTAAACAATTCTAGAAGTTCTGGTTGCCTAATTACTGGTACAATTGTCGTTATCTTGTAATTACACGTCTCATTCGTCCCACACCCGTCCATTGCTCCAATAGTCAACGGATGTGATTTAATTAACGTTAGTAATTCCTGCACAGGTAAGACATAGATAGGCGGCTTATTTTCAGCCTCTAATACCTTACCTAGTGTGGCATTTACATATTCATCATAATATAAAAAATTGGGAAATTGGAAATTATGTATCCAATCGATATCTTGTAGTAAGGACGATATAACCTTGTTAGCTTGATCTAATTCTAGACCCAAACTCAACGTAAGAAACCATGACTCTGTAGAATTGTACTTGGCTTGTTCCACCCTGCTCGCTAAACTAATACTATTTTTAAAAACCTTGTTTGTAACTACTTGATATTTTAAGGAAGTCAGTAACTGGACCCTTTTCTCTTGTGCGACTGTTCCCTTGATTTCTTCTTTTTGTCTTTGCAATATGGGAAGCATTCCTGTAAACGTTGCATCTCTAGGGAAGTTTCTAGGTTCAGTTTGAATTCTATGTTTCAGATTCTTGATCCTATTGTCTAAATCTGTATTCTTGGTTTTTAACAAACTAAACAAAGCACTGTCTATTGTTTTGCCGGGTGGAATATTGGTCTCAACATGATTAAAGATTTTAGTAGTAATCATGTCCGATTGTTTAACCAATTCTCCTACATCTATGGAGGATTCTAGCGTCCAATAACCATTCGGTACACATATTGGATACATTTCTTCCAAAACAACGCCAACGCTACCAGGAAAGTTGCGTATGGGGGACGTCTTATCAAATCTATTTAAATTCGTTGATGTACCTTTGTCATCGATGGGGATTTCCTTAATAGTGAGGGAAAAAGACACATCCATGATACATATACAAATGTATATTTCCACAAATTTTCTATACACTTCCATAATCCTTCTTTACAATTTCAAACGAATGTTAATCCTTCAACGGCGGACTGCGTACTGGTCACTGTACGGTTTTTTCACTCCTTCGGTGACTCAGTCTTTTTTTGGGCTTGCTTGGCCTTGAGCAGTTCAGCCATGCGTGCTTGCTGCCTTGTCAGCGGTCATTGCCATGAGGTTTTCATTTCTTTCTTTGGCCTTGTTCTGGTTGGCAACACATTGTCTGGGTTTAAATGACGTAGCAAGGGGCAATCCATTGGATTTAAATCTAATTTCTTTTTCCCTTTGTCGTCCCTCTCTTTCTCTGTTTCATCATCATCCTCTGCTGCTTCACCTTCCTCTTCTTTGTCTCTAGACTGGGTTGACGACCTTCTATCCTTTTTCTTGCTGTCTCTCTTTTCCTTGAACTTTTTCCATTTCTCCTTGTTCCTTACCTGCCTCGGAGTTAATGCAACTGCTCCTTCAGGTGTTCTTTTGGGTGTTCCTCCACCTCTTCCTGCTGTCAGTTGCTTCATTAATTCTGGTGTGCTAGAGGCAGGTGGCGGACCTTTCTGAAGGACAGTTTCGGATAAGCTTGGTAGAGTATCCCTAGTGGTATCAAAAAATCTTCCTATTTCATCAGTGACTTCCCTGAATATTTCCTTAGTCTTTTGAAATAAACCTGTCTTTCTTTTGGGTGACGCTGGTATTACTGTTGCATCTAAATCGGGCACTGATACGAAAGAATCTTCTTGTTCAGACTGTGAAGCTGATGAATCCTGTTTTTCTCTGGATTCCTTCTGCCTTTTCAAAATGGATTTGATAGCCCGTTTATCCACCAGATGTTTATGGATTTTAGAACCAAGAGTTTTCCTCCTCTGTTCCCCTCCAGTGGTCTTTGTGGCTACAGCAGTTTTTTCTTCTTCATCCGTTTCCCACTGTTTTTCTTTGATACTCTGAGGGCCTTCCCATTTCCATTTTGGGGCCTCGTCATCTTGATCATTGTCCAGCACTTTGA